TTTTGGGGTGCTTCGAAACCGATGGACGTCGAAGCCTATCTGCAAGACACGATAAGTGAACTACTGCAGCTGGTTTTCGACAGTGGTTTCACTACAACTGACCTAGAATGTGTGCTTGTTCACCTGTCAGGCATCATTTGCGACAAACAAGCCAGGTCGTTGATCAAGCAAACCAAAGGCCACTCCGGCTATTACGGATGTGATTGGTATGTCGTTCACGGAGTCCGGCTTGAAAGAACACTGACTTTTCCACAACTGGATGCCCGTTTGCGAACAGACACTGACTTCCGTTCCAGGTCCAATGCTGGACATTTCGGTGCCTCCCCATTTGAACGGCTCCCAACAGACATGATCAAGCCATTTCCCCTTGATTATATGCGTGACAGAGTTGCCAACACTTATAAAGGGTGAGGTAACTGTTTTACATTGACACTTGTCACTTTAGGTACTCCGTGGCCGCACACTTGAGTGTCATGGAGAAATCAATCCAGTCTTGGTTCAAGGGAGCCTTAGATCGAATCCCTGGAAACCAGAAGCTGCGGCGCGAGATGGCCGCCTTGTAGCGCATCCGAAACAATCTATAATGCTGCTATGATATAATTAATAGATTTATATTTTTGCAATAACTTTGTTATCTTTTGAGCATGTTGTCGGAAGAACGACGCGTTTGGTAATTTCATGCGGCGTTTACGGCTCCCAATAGACATGATCAAGTCATTTCCCCTTGATTATATGCATTTAGTATGCTTTGGCGTAACCAAGAATTTGCTGGAATTTTGGGTTGGTGGTCAAGCGCGTCGTCCTTACAGATTGTCACAAACGCAAAGGACGGAGATTAACCGCATTTCAACCGTACACAGTCACACTCCTGTCCTCTTGAGGATAATGGGCTCTGGGAAGTCGCAGAGTTCCGACAGTTTTTGCTCTACATATGGCCTGTGGTACTAGCAGTGATTGAAAGCGATGTTTACAAGAATCTCCTTGATTTATCTCTTGCTGTTTACCTATTTTTCCACCCGATTTTCCACGTTGATTATGCTGACTTCGCTCAGAGTGTTGCACGCGTATTTGTACAGAAGTTTTCCAATATATATGGGCCGCGGGCTATCACGTACAATGTACACAGCTTGGTACATTTAGTGGAAGATGTGAGGGTACATGGACCCTTGGATCGTTTTACCGCATTTCCCTTTGAGTCATTTTTAGGAAAACTGAGGAAGGATGTTTCCATGTCGCGTAATCCTGTCGTTCAAATACAACGACGTATTGATGAACGATCAGCATCAGCTTCTGTTGACAGGTTGAATTGTTTGCTGACAGAAGACTGTGGAGGAGATGCACCCGCTCCATCAGACGGTTTACTTTTCCGTTCTTTTTTTATCTTTTGCTCCACACGGGACAATGCAGTTCTTGTTGATGGCCACCTGTGTGTTATTGTAAAATTTACGGCCCTCCATTTCCACCTTAGGTTTGATATAGTTCGATCTTTTTTACTTTTCCCTTGCAGTCTCGGGATATTCTTATTTTCCGTGTTTGTCAGCTGAATGAACATGTCTTCATTCAACCTTTAAGTAGCATCACTTGTAAATGTTTCGCGTTTCCTGTTAATGATGAACTCTTTTATATTCCACTATTACATTACCCCTGACCACCGGTTTTAAACGCTGGAAAAAATTTATTGATGAGTTTACTCATGTACCTGCACCTCTTACATATGTACCCCGTTTTCAAGTTCTTGGATGACGGGCAGTTTGCGATTGGTCGCTAAGAATGGTTTATCGACGAAAGAACCATTCAGTGGAGAACCTTTGATGACTAAGGAGAAATAGAACGCGCCCTAATAAACAAAGGGGCATGCCTTTAAGCGGTATCACGCGCTCCGTCGCAGTCATCAAGAAGTTCGGTACGCTTCACAAAAAATCTAATTGAGCCTTTACACGTCTTCAGGAGCTTATTCTGAGGCAGTCCGGTTCCGTGCAACGCTAAACTCCAGCGATGGCACTTCAGACACGGAACCGCAGGCCTACTTTGGGCTGTATTATGGTGTCCGCGAGAGGCAATTTTTGGTAATAACAGGTCTATTTTCCAGAAAGCGCAACCCAAAGTACTCGTCACTTGGTGAATGGGCTGAGAAGCACCCATCTCAGAAAGCCTCTAAAAGGTTCACCTACGCAACTCCTCCGCAAATGTTGTCCTCACCCGTTGAATAAGTGTGACCCTAATTTCAGTGTGATATATATTTTAAATGCAGTCCGGCTTATGGCCGCCAGTCATCCGCAATTTCGACACCACCTCTTCGGTTCATGGAATGAACCGACGACTCCGGCGGGGAGACAAGCGATTCCGATAAATTGCGTGTGCCAGACTATACAAACAGGAAGATATTGCGCATCCTGTCTGCTTTTCGAGGTAAACTAAAATCATGTACCCCAATTCATACCTAGATGAAATGCGCGACGAGGCCGTCAAAGCCGAGGCCTTCCGAAGTGAGGTGATATCACTGCTTATTGCTTAATCGAATATTAGAAGAAACCTTGGATCTCTTGGAACAGCTGGATATGCGGCTGAGATCTTTAGAGCTAGGTCTCAGTTCGGATGCGTCCACGCGAAAAAAAGCGAAAAACCACTCCGGAAGAGATGAAAATGACCAAAATGGAAGATCTGGATGCTTTTCTGGCCAGATTGTATAACGCAGAATTCCGTGAGCAGTCAGTGAGTACCTCCAACCTGGTCCACACTTTAGTAATAAAGGTGATTTTTCTTTCCAGATTGGTCTGCTTTGACCCTCGCCTCTCGGTTAGGAACATGCTGCGTGCACTGTTTGCTCCTGAGTTCGCAGATCGTCTGACATGTTCGAAGGGAGAAGAAAAAAGACCCATATCAAGTACAGAGTTGCCAACACTTATAAAGGGTGAGGTAACTGTTTTACATTGACACTTGTCACTTTAGGTACTCCGTGGCCGCACACTTGAGTGTCATGGAGAAATCAATCCAGTCTTGGTTCAAGGGAGCCTTAGATCGAATCCCTGGAAACCAGAAGCTGCGGCGCGAGATGGCCGCCTTGTAGCGCATCCGAAACAATCTATAATGCTGCTATGATATAATTAATAGATTTATATTTTTGCAATAACTTTGTTATCTTTTGAGCATGTTGTCGGAAGAACGACGCGTTTGGTAATTTCATGCGGCGTTTGGCAATAATACGCATGCCATGAGGTTAGGCAGTCACAGAGATTACTCACAGAGGCAGTAAGTTAACCAGCACATATGCCTCCACAAATTTGTGATTGCCACCGTTAGCCTCGTCCGGCTGCAAAGGGCTTTGAAAAAGGCCATGGAAAAGGTTGGTGGAAATTTTTCCCGTTGCCGCCTTTGGCCGCCTTTAGCCACCGGTGGCAAGCGTAACATGCCACCCCTATCTGCCACCGATGGCCACCGGTGGCGCCACTGGTGGCGTGTTTACTGGGAAACATGCTCGTGTTTATGGACAGCCTAACCCAAGCCAAGGACGAAGGACTCATATTGGATGCCATAATTTTCTACTTCTTAAAAGCATTCGATAGGGTCCCACACGTCCCGCTGCTCCACAAACTCGAGTCTTACGGGATCCAAGTGAAAATCCTTCACTGGATCAAGGCGTTCCTATCAGACAGATCATTCTGAATAGCTACCTACCCCCCCACAAATCATCGGTGAAGGAAACTGTGGCAGCTACAAACACTGTACGACTAGTACGCGGTTTTTACAGCTGATAATGATGATGATGATTCCGAGTGAGAATAGGCTCAACCCACTCTTCTCCAGCGACGGCGTCCATTGGAGTTCCTCAAGGCTCCGTCCTGGGACCACTCCTGTTCCTGATTTACGTCAACGACCTCCCAGATGTTCTTGCAAGTCTGTGTCCACTTTCTGCGGACGACTCGAACTCCTGGAGTTCCAATTCCAGTGCCCTACGAATGGATGTAGACGCTGTAAAGCGGTGGTCATTGGACTGGCTCTTCTTCTGAATGACGAAATGTGCGTCCATATGTCATTTGGAGGGGATTCAGCGAATGCCTTTGGTATCCATGGTAAGAAAGGATCAGAAAACATCATGAGGATAGACGCCAAAATGGATTCGGGCATCTGGGTCACCTCAAACTTGTCTCTCTTACTCCACCATGAGAAACCGGACCAAAAGGCATTCGCCATTTTACGGACGATTCGGCGCACCTTCTCCCGATTCAATAACATGGACTTCCAAATACTCTATGAGGCCTACGTCAGACCGCTCCTGGAATACGCCAAACAAGTTGTCTGCTCAGGGTACATTAAAGACGTCATCCTCATCGATCGCGTCCAGGAGGTGGCTACGAGAATGGTTGCCGGGCTCAAATCCGTGGACTACGAAACGCGTCTCGCGATGCTTGGGCTCTTTCCCCTGGAGTACCGTCGCCTCCGAGGGGGCCTAATTTTTACTTATGCCCTGTTTGAACAAAGCTTGGCAAACAGGTTTTTCACCGTTTACCCAACAAACACACGGTGGGAACGTAGTTAGAAGATTTTCAAGCTCAGAGTGCACACATTCATTAAGCAAAGCGTTTTCTCCTTTCGGGTAGTAACTGGGTGGAATGACCTTCCTCTAACGGTTATCCACGCTCCTCCTGGAACCCAGTTCGAAGCACTACTAGACATTAATTAATGCAAATCCTCGCGCTGGTAAGCATACTGCCCTGCGCTGAGAACATAAAGAGCAGTGCTACACCCGTTTTTGCTTGTGTCTTTCAGATGAACGACAGCCACTGACCGACAAGAACAAAACCGACCCGGGAAACTTGAGCAAAAGCCTCGCTCCGTGAATCCGCGAAGCCACTACAGAACATTCCTATAGCCATTTTTCTTCGTCAACACGCGGCCGACGTGAATAATCGTCCGCAGTACTATTGAGATTAAATGATCACCCCATCATTGAAGATATTGATCAGTGGCCTGTTAACAGTTCAAATTTGAACTGGGTTTCCATGTATGTTCGGGCTCGAAGGTGCGTGTGATTACCCCGATGGTTCTACTATGCGGTCATTATCTGCTGGTTGAAGTTGGTACCTGTGACGCTCTCATACCTGCGACCTTGCAGCACGTCCTTCAAGTAAGAGTAGATCGCTAATCCACCGCAACTCGCTCACAGCATTCTCCTACCCTGCTTCCGGTTCTTCTTGGGATCGTACTTTACGTGAATGATGAAGATCGCGGATGCATTTTTGCAGTTTGTCGGTTATATTCTGGGAAAGATAACGTTGAGCTTGAAATGAACGTCGGAACACGCTGACAGCAGTTATACTGTTTGCGTTCGCAATGGCCTCAGATTTGGCTGAAATTGTGGCGACCATAAAATCGAGAAGGTGTGGCGATTGCAAAAGCTTCGGACCAAAAACCCAACCAAGGCCTGGAAGATTGGTCAGACAGCGAGCACAATTGGATTTCATGACACATTCCAGCTCACCAGTCAGTCTCGAGGCTTCACTCGGTGCATTAGAAACGTTGCCATTCATGTGTTTAATTGATGTTCCATTTATGTTCCAGATTCAGTCTTATCTCAGTGTGGGGTTCGAAAGGGAACCGGTGCACCGTCTGTGTGCACTGTGACAAACGCTGGTCGACCAGGGGGCTTTGTTCCGACTGTAGTTGTCACTGTTCTCAGTCCGTCTTGTGCTACATCGTTGTTTGTGGAAACTACTGGAGTTGTCTCGCCAGCATTCTTCATGGACCTTTCGGTTGCATCTACTGCACCATTTGTTGGTGTGGACAACGTATTCATCACAAAAATAACAGGGTGTTGCTAGTCTCATAAGTCCATACTGAATGTAACTGCTTTTCGAAGGTCCCTATCGTTACTACATCAGGCTGAGATGACTTCGAATCTTTACCCAATCATTTTACCAGATGTAAGCACTGTACAAATGATGCACTAGTTCCAGCTGCCACATTTCCTGTCACATAAAAATGGAAAGCAGGTTAGATGTAGTCAGATAGCTCAAATGGTTAGAGCTTGAGTTCACTGACAGAAAGTAATGTGGTTTGAAACCGACCTCTGCCTCTCGACTTCCCCTCTCTAGGCTTGGGCAAACTGGCAGCATCCCAGCCGTCGTGCAACCTACAGATGGCATGGCAGGTAGGCACCGAAAGGGTTCTAGAGCCAAACGATTTTTTCAGATGTAGCCAGGCATCGGTGGCGGCATTGATTTCGTCACCATAGTAGACACCAATTCACAGATAACGCATACTGACACTTAGCTAGCATACAACCCATTAGTAACGGTATTTTCCTCAGCTTAGTCCTCGGTCTGAGCCTCCCAAGCTAGCGTTCACGCCAAAACAACCACCAAAGGTGCACAGGGTTTATTAATGCCCAAAACGAAGTCAAGAACAGCTGTACAGCGCTTCGTATATATAGCGTAAGCGGTTATAACCTTCTGGAAGTTCTGACGCGTTCTGGATGCGCCATTGGCAACCGGCACTTGGCAAATTCTGGGTCATGANAAACTGGCAGCATCCCAGCCGTCGTGCAACCTACAGATGGCATGGCAGGTAGGCACCGAAAGGGTTCTAGAGCCAAACGATTTTTTCAGATGTAGCCAGGCATCGGTGGCGGCATTGATTTCGTCACCATAGTAGACACCAATTCACAGATAACGCATACTGACACTTAGCTAGCATACAACCCATTAGTAACGGTATTTTCCTCAGCTTAGTCCTCGGTCTGAGCCTCCCAAGCTAGCGTTCACGCCAAAACAACCACCAAAGGTGCACAGGGTTTATTAATGCCCAAAACGAAGTCAAGAACAGCTGTACAGCGCTTCGTATATATAGCGTAAGCGGTTATAACCTTCTGGAAGTTCTGACGCGTTCTGGATGCGCCATTGGCAACCGGCACTTGGCAAATTCTGGGTCATGATTGGCTGTTGGGTCCAGATTGTTGACCAATCAGATCTCGCCGTGATGTCGAACCGGCAAGCGTCCCGAAATTCTGGGCGAACCTCGAGCGGGCCAGGTTTCTCGGCCGTAGCAGCGCCTAAAGACGTGCGCTATAGCAGGATCCGTGTGGATTC